CGCAGCCCCGATGGCTGAAATTCATCGCTGAAATGCAAAACTTGTTGGGGCTCCGCGGCGCTCCCCTCGCGCGCTCTCCCCCGCTCTCAGCCGGCGCTGGCGGAGCAGCAACAAGTTTTGCATTTCAGCGATGAATTTCAGCCATCGGGGCTGCGCCAATGAGCGCCGCGCGGCCCGGGGCGGGGCTCGCCGTTAAGGTGGCTCCGCCGCGCCGGCTCTTCGCCCCTCCCGCTTCGCTCCGCTCCCTCAGGCCGCTGCCCCGCGGTGTTGCGGGGGGAGCTGCGCGGAGCGATGCCCGCCCGCCCGGCCCGGCCGTCGGGGTGCGGAGCGGAGCGGCGGGATTCGGGCGATCCGAGCCCGGGAGGTGCTGCTCCGGGCGGCGCGCGGTCGGAGCCCTCCCGATAAGGGCTGAGACGGGGAGAGGCGGCCCGCCCCGGGTCCGGGCAGCGGGAACGGAGCGGTCCGAGCGCGGCGCCCTCGGGGTGAGAACACCGCTTGGACCCCGGGGAGGATGGGGAGGGAAGCGGCACCTGTGGGGCTCGCAGCTCGCACGTTTCGTAGTGAAGAAAAAATAGGAAGAAAATGAAATTACTCGCACCAAAAGAAAAAAAAAAAAAAAAAAGAGAGAGGGAGAGATCTATAAATAAGCAGCCGAGAAGTATTTGTGTATGGCAGCAGAGTTTTAAAGGGATTTTTTCTGCAGGATCAGGATGCCGCGCTGTGATTAAATATTGATTTTGTGTAATTAGTTTTCATGTGAACTATCCTCCTCGCTGATGGCTTGGAGATTTCAGAACGGGAGAAGAAATGGAATCGGACGTGGAAATTATTACTTAGCGGAGGGACGGGGGTGCTCGGGGCCGGCGGCTGCACAAAGGGGAGAAGCGAAGTTCCGACCGCAGCGGGGAGGGCGCCGACAAAGCGGAGCGGCGGAGCCCCGCAGGCGGAGCGGTTCGGATCCCGCAGTTTTGCGGCTCCCGCAGGGCCCGACCCCCCCTTCCCACCACCACCACCACCACCACCACCATCACTGCCCCCAGCCCCGGGGCTCCGCGTGCGCTCCTCCCGCGGCCGCCGCGCGCCCCTCCGCGTCTCTCTGCGCCTGCGTGCGCGCCGTCGGAGCGCGTCTTGCGAACGGGCGCAGCGCCCCCTGGCGGCCGCGCGGCGCAGCACTCCGGGAGAGCCGAGCGGAGCCGTCGGGGCGCGGCGCGGGGCGCTGCGGAAGCTCCCGCGGGGCCGCAGCAGCAGCACGGGCGGCTGGGACGCGGTGCGGGGCTCCCAGGTAGAGGGGGAACAGTTCCGGCTCTGCCTTTAGGGTAGATGGGGCGCACTGTTCTAATTCGTAATGTTAACAGTGTGTTGTGTAAATGGTCACTGGTGTCCTCTTGATCCAATCTTTCTCTGGCCACAGAGGCGTTCTATTTACATGGGGATTTGTTTTTGTTTTCTTTTTAATTGAAGAAAAGTATGGATTGAGCTGGAGGGGGGTCCGAGCACTGATGGAGCTGTGGATGTCTCTGTGCACTGCAAGGAATGGGACCAAATGGCTGGCCTTTGGGGGTCCTTCCAACTCAAACCATTCTGTGGGTCCGAACCTGAAACGCAGCACAGCACAGAGAGCGCTGTAAATGACAGCAACACCAGTGCACAGAGGCACTGTGAGTGTATTCATGCCAGGGTTGCACAAAGGTATTTCCCACTGAGGTTGCCATGTGCCTGCTGGACGATGTACCTGTCAGGAGCACCACTGTATACTAATTACTGCTGTAATCACATTGGATTCCATTTGTGGCCGACCCTTTTTATCACAGCTTTGTCATCACGTTTATACACAGCCTCTTCTCTGGGGAGACAGCCTGGGCTCTGCACCGCGGCTGTGATGAGAGCTGCACAGCGTGGCTGTGGAAGGAGGAAACTCACTGCTGCCAGTGCTGCGTTCCCACTGCCTGGAGCTCCCACCACTGCCGTGTGACCTCAGGCCGATGTGCCATCACAGCTCTGCTCCAACTCCAGGGCTGTTGTCTCAGGGGCTTATCCTGCAACAATTCACGCACACCAGCTTCCATGTAAGAGACCAAATCTTTTGGCAAAGAGATTTTCAGCTATGAAGACAGCTCACCCCGTTACTGTGCAGGTAGATGCCGCGTCCATTTGTTCCTCAGGTGGAAGAAGCGCTGTCAGAAGAACTGTGTGTGGGATGGAGACTCCCTCGGTCCATTGGCTGAACACCCCAAGTGTTCCAGGACCCTGAGCTCCCATCTGTGCCCAGCAGCAGAGCCCTGCACTGTGCACACCAACAGAGCCCTGGGGCTGTCACTGCCACCGGAGCTCAGGTATGGAGCGCCCGGATGGGGAAACCTCTCCATACAGGGAGAAGTCTATCCTACAAACAGTATTTTTACTTTCGGTCTTTGGGTTTTGGCCATCGTGGGGGGAAGGAGGGAAAGGCGTTATTTAAATAGCGGTAGCTGCAGGGGATTATTTTCTAAATTAACAATAGCCGTCGCCGCTGCCAAATCCGAAGTGGAGAGGATTCATTGATTTCGACTTTCAAGACAATGGTGTGATTTGGGGTTTCATATTGCAAGCTCTGCAAACCAAATAGTGGGGTTGATTTAGAAAAGGAAAAAAAAAAAAAAAGAAGAACAATTCAAACGCCATCAATTCATCAGCCCTGAATTCAGCTCTTTCCACGGTGCCAGGCCGACTTGCACTGAGAAAAGTCGCTGCTCAGCAAAAAAAAAAAAGAAAAAAAGAAAAAAAATCCCTTTTTAACAAAATGAATGCATCATACATAAAACATCACGGAGCGTACAATTAGTAAGCAAATGTAAGAGT